TGATTCGGCAATTGGTTATGAATTTCTACACATCTCTTCCGTCGTGGCGGTATTGTAAGAGTTACAGCAAGACTTATATATATCATGAGGTGCATTGAGAGCATAAGATTCGTGGAATTTCAACTAATTTGATCAAAGAATGTTATTGTGGTCCTGTGAGTAAAGTGGTGCAAGGTGTGAATCCAACTAAGGTATGCAGTCATGTCTTGGTGCTGCGTGTAGTTATTGATATGGTGAGCGTATGTTGGAAACAGGCCTGGCATAGGATTCCGGATGTTGGAATTGGGCTCTAAGGCTTATATGCTTGAATAAAAGGGAATATCTTCAGAATTGATCGAGCTAATGTGCTAAACTGAGTTGTGGTAGCACGGGAAGGTGCATGAGGTGTTAAACAATGATTTTAGACTACTTCAGTGTAGTTCTCAGCACGTTCGAGGACGAACGTATGTTTAAGTAGGAGAGAATGTAACGACCCAACCGGTCGTTTTGAGCTCTAGCACGTCGTTCACCAGTTTGGGGCCATGAACAGCTTCATTTCAGGTATTACGACTTGCACGCGTGGTCGAAATTGAACTTTGGGAAGTTCGGAATTTATTTAGAAAGAGAATTCTAATTTCGGAAGTTTAAGTTGAAAGAATTAGCTAAGATCGGAATTTTTAGTAAACGACCTTGGAATCGGGATTCGAGGGTTCCAGCAGGTTCGTATGATGATTTCGGACTTGGGCGTATGCCCGGATCGGGTTTCGGATGACCCAGGAGCGTTTTGGCACCTATTGTGGAAGTTAGCATTTGGGAAGAAATTTCATAAGTTTGGGTTGAAGTGCATTTCGGTGTTATCGATGTTCGTTTGGGATTCCGAGTCTGGGAGTAGCTACGTATGGTGATTCTGGTGCTGAAAGCGCGATCGGAAGTGAATTCGGAGGTCCGTGAGTCATTTTGGAGTCATTTGGCTAAAGATAGAAATTTGAAGTTTTTTGAGATGTTTGACCGGAAGTGGACTTTTTGATATCTGGGTCGGAATCCGATTCCGAAAGTTGGAGTAGGTCCGTAATGTCGAATATGACTTGTGTGCAAAATTTGAAGTCAATCGGACGTGATTTGATAGGTTTAAACATCGAAAATAGAAGTTTGAAATTCTAAAGTTCATAAAGCTTGGATTGGAGATCGATTCATGGTTTTAGCATGGTTTGATATGATTTGAGGCCTCGAGCAAGTCCGTAATGTGTTTTGGGACTGGTTGGTATGATTGGTTGGGGTCTCGGGGGCCTCGGGTGGATTTCGGGTGGTTAACGGAACGAAAATGGAATTTGGAGAAATGCTGAAGCATCTGCTTCAGTCATAACCGCACCTGCGGTGGGTCAACCGCAAGTGCGAGACCGCAGAAGCGGCCGTAGTCTCGCAGATGCATCCCAGAGCTGGCTAGGCCAAACTGCAGAAGCGGCTCCTTAGCCGCTGAAGTGGCTTCGCAGATATGGCTTCAAGACCGTAGAAGCGGTCCCAGTCCTTTTAGCCAATTCCGCAGATGCGGACTCCCTTTGCAGAAGCAGGACCCTGACCGCAGATGTGGAAACTGCTGAAGCAGTCAGCTTCATTTAAGTCGAGCTCCATCCATTTTTGACTGTTTGTCACTCGGGTATTGAGCAATTTTGGAGCTCTTGAGAAGGGATTTCAACATAGCATCATGAGGTAAGTTCATCCCCCTTATTTCTAAGTTTAACACTCGAGTTTTGGGTAGATTAACACCTAAAGATTTGGAGAAATCAAGGGGTTAGAGCTAGACCTAGGGTTTTAATAAAACTTAGATTTTACCACGAAATTGGTTATGAAATGGATTAGAAATCATATATTATCGATCCTTAGGTTATAGAGAACAACTTCCTTCGGAAAATGTCGGAATCCGGGCACGTGGGCCCGGGGATGAATTTTAGGAACCTTGCATTTAGGGTTGGGAAATTGGTTTAATAATTAGAATGTGAACTTTTGAGTATGTATTGACTAGTTCTTACCCTATTTGAATAGTTTTGGTTCGTTCGGCTCCAAATTGGAGGTTTGAGCGCGTTCTTAAATCGGAATATAGGCTTCGGAGCAAGGTGGGTCTCTTTTCTAACCTTGTAAGAGGGAATTGTCCCCATAGGTGATATAATTAGTTATGTGCTCCTATTTGTGGGGGATACGTACGCACGAGGTGACGAGAGTCCGTGCGTAGCTACTATATGTGTAAGTCCGGGTAGTCTAGGACCCAAAAGCATGCTATACTTGAAATATCTGTAATCTTGTTGGCAGTTGAATTGCTTAAATCTTATCGAATTGGTAAATTAATTTCTAAAAGTATTAAACTTCATTTTCTTAAATCGCTAAAGAGAATTGGCTTTTATTTGGATAAACGTTCACTGGTAAATTCTTAATTTGCTGTTTGAGCATGTATTTCTATGTGTACCTGCATCGCATGTGTGATTCGAGAGCAGGGTGTTTGTTTATTTATGTTGACCGCATCGCATGTATGATTCGCGAGCGGGGTAATAGATGAATCTATGGTTCGCGCCGTTCGACCCTCGGCAGTGCACATTTTACATTTATGTTGGATCGGGCCGTACAACCTCGGCATGATATGCGCATGTTTGTATTGTGGCTTGAGATTTATTAATGTTAACATTTTCCTTTCCTGGCCGGAGATAAATTGATAAGGATAATGAAAAGTAAATCTATGAAAATCCATCATTATTTGGGAGGTTGTTTACCGGCTATTTGGCTTTATGAATTATAATTGTTGTTTTATAAAATTCCCCGATCTCCTCACATTTTTACTATATTATCATTGAACCACTGGTAAGTGTCGAAGTCGACCTCTCGTCTCTACTTCTTCGAGATTAGATGGGATACTCATTGGGTACATGTTGTTTTCGTACTCATATTACACTTGTTGTGCATTTTTGTTGCACAGGTTTATGTGTGGCTAGTGGCATAGCGGCATGGTTGATACGGAAACTCAGGTGAGTTGCATTATTCGAGACGACCGTGGCTAGCAGAGTCTCCTTCAGAGTTTTGTACTGTATTTTTCATTTTTTCCCACTTGTATTCCGGGTAGTTACTGTATTTTATGCTCATGCACTTGTGACACCGAGTTCTGGGATGATTATGGGGTATCTTGTATTAACTTCTTAACATTCATATTTGGTTTGAGACGATTATCTTTTACTGGTATCTTGGTTGGCTTGCCTAACAGCAGTGTCCGGCGCCATCACGACCCTTAGTGGATTTTGGGCCGTGATAGTGTACTTACTGAATTAGCTGCTAATTGTTGTTTAGTACTCAGTCATAGCTGTTCTTGCTTATTATGCCTCTGTCTCTTGTTGTTCATTGTTGATACATGACATTACCTCTGTTTGGGCTGTTTATATGATTTTTAAGAGCCCGAGAGACTGGAGAGATTGATGACTGAGTGAGGTCGAGGGCCTGATCTGTGAGGATATTTATGAGATCGGGTTGCACGTCGCAGCATGTTGTTACTGATTTATGATTGAGTGAGGCCGAGGGCCTGAGTGATTTATGCCACGAAGTGGCTTGTTATAGCACTTGGGCTGAAGGAGCCCCTCCGGAGTTTGTACACACCCCCTGTAAGCGCAGGTACCTACTGAGTGCGAGTACCGAGTGCTGAGCGACTGGGAGGAATGAGTGAATGTGAGGAATGAGTGATTGTGAGGTTGGAGTGATGGGAGGACAGAGTGACTGAAATTCTGAGAAAATACATTTACTTCATTACTGTTGCATCGCAGATGTCATATCACTGTTTCAAAAATTATTGGAAGATATTATTTACTGTTCAGTCAAATTTGATATCTGGTTTATTGAGTACGTACTGATGTGACTTAAACTGTTAAATTGAAAGTATGACTACTCTTATTTGAAAGTTATTGAGATAACTGTATTTGCATAGCTCGTCACTACTTCTCAGTTCCTTATTTATTTATGTTACTTACTAAGTTGGTGTACTCATGTTACCCCCTGTACCTCGTGTACAGATCTAGACACTTCTGCTCACGGCTGTTGCTGATTGAGGAGTCAGACTCAAGAGACTATTGAGGTAGCTGCATGGAATTCGCTGACCTTGACTCTCTTTTCCTTTCATGTTGTACTGTTTTATATTTCTAGACAGTGTTTTATCAGTTGGATGTTGTTATCATTTAGATGCTCATGCACTCAGTAACACCGGGTTTTGGGGATGGATTGTTTAGTACTTTTGGAGTTATATTCTGTTCTAAAAGGTTTTATTTAATATTAACTGCTTCCCCCTTTATTTAAAAGTTCTACTGTGTTGAGATGTTGAGTTGAGGCTTGCCTTGTACCACGATAGGCGCCATCACGACGGGTGAGATTTTGGGTCGTGACAGTATAAGATGCGATCCTACCAATTGGTTTCTTTTTCACTGATTCAGCTGATAGAAGATGAGACAATTTATCAACAAACTCTTCAAAGCAGTAACTGCCCCATGGAAAAGAAGCACGAAGGTCTGCGTCGTCTATAATTTTCATAAAACGATCACTTACCCAAAAGAACAGCTTCTAATATATAAATCTCAGCAAACTTTACGGCATCTTCATTGCAGACCTCGACATCAACACTTACATCATCTGTTGCACCAACACGGAGTCGAGAACGCTTTTTCATAAACTCATACAAATTATCTACCTTCAAACCCTTCTTAATACCAGAGAAATATTGTTCCTTCAAATGGTTCTTTCTATCATCAACGAAACTATAATCAGATGCCTCAATCTTCAGCTCGGTAATAGAATGGAAATCATCTTCTGTAAATTCTACGTCGTTCCCAAAAACTCTAAAAACTATTTTGGTTTTATCCTAGTAAAATACTTGGGAAAGCAGCATACAGTGAGTCAACTTCCCAGAGTGACCCACCTCATTCAATTCTAAAAATTTCCCAAATATACCGTTCTTTAATTGATCCATTTGAGTTCCACACAAAAACGACAAAATAGTTTTCTTAAAATTTCAATCGTCTTTCCAATAACAATCAGCAGGAAACCACTTCTTAAAATCATAAAATCTATCTCCCTCCTAAAATCAAAATACAACACATATAAGCAACATTTCATATAATTTAAGATAAAAACTTCAAGTTTCAGAAATACGTACCTTCAATATCCTACTTGAAGATTCCATTTCTATAAAATCATGAAAAAAAACATATAACATTAGATAAGTAAACACAATCATAATTCAGTATATATATATATATATGAGAAGTAAATTATAAACAGAACTCATCCACTAAAATGAACAGATCAACAAAGTCTACAGATTGCAATCTTCCAGCATAATATACTGGATCACAATAAATTACAAGATATGAAACTCCAGCAATAAATACAGGGGCATACAGAAGAAACATAATCAAAAAACAAAGTATAATAATCATCCAGTATAATATACTAGAGAAAAAACTTAAGGATTATATACCGGAACAAAGAGCATAATATAAAACAAGAAAACAAATAAATACTCAAAAAAGTAATGACAAATAAAACAAAATTTTAGTCTAAACAGAACTCATCCAGTATAATATACTGGAGAAAACGCTTACACACAGCAGACGTCCCGTAAAATATATTGGAATGAAACAAAACTCAATTATATTATAATATTCTTCCAGTATGTTATACTGGAAGATAAACATTCACATGATAGACTTCCAGTATAATATACTGGAGAAAACGCTTACACACAGCAGACGTCCCGTAAAATATATTGGAATGAAACAAAACTCAATTATATTATAATATTCTTCCAGTATGTTATACTGGAAGATAAACATTCACATGATAGACTTCCAGTATAATATACTGGACAAAATTTTACTAAATTTAATAAACAAAAATCATAATCAAAACCCACACAGTAGACGACTACAATTCACACACAGCAGACGTCCCGTAAATATACTGGGATGAAACAAAACTCAACTATATTATAATATTCATCCAGTATAACATACTAGACAAAATTTTAATAAATTTAATAAACAAAAAATATAATCAAAACCCACACACTAGACATTTACTATTCACACACAGCAGACATCCCGTAAAATATACTGGAATGAAACAAAACATTCACATTACAGACTTCCAGTATAATATACTAGACAAAAAACATAATTAAAATGCAGATGAAGCAAGAAAATACTTGAAATTAACTCTAATATACAGAGACTAGAAAAAATTTGAAAAACTTATAAAAACAAATTACACAACAATTACAACATTACAACATAAAACTAATAACAAAGTGACAAAATTACTAGAAATAAGACAAACTAATGAACAGAGAAAAAATCATAAAAGTTAAAATACAACAAATATTTAAACCCTAACGGTACGAAAATCAAAATTAAACCTAAAGCACCATTAATAACAACGAAAATTCAAAGACACTATCGTAAAAAACAAAACTCACCCTAATTTTGAAGAAAATTGGATGAAAGCCAGACAAGATTCGAAGAAAAGTGCTCTCTCAGGAAAGCGATATTTGTACAACTGCTGTAAAAACAAAGAGAAAGGTGATAAAAAGTAACTAAACAGTATGTTAGAAAGGTCAAGGGCAATTATGTCATTTACCAATATATTTTAAGTTAAAATGGCTAGAAATCGATTACATTTGGAACGGTGGCTATTTTTCGATAGCCGCGAGTAAAACTGGCTACGCCGTACAATTTTAACAACATTCGATTACAAAACCCCACGCGAGGTCCTTACATATGATTACAAAAGCCCATGAGGGGTCCTTACACAGAAATAAAGAAGCAAGAGAGTACATATGTAGTGAAAGCCTAGGACCTAGTTTACTCTCAAAGGTTCATCTCTGGTAGCAGCATCTCCGAGCACCACCTCCTCGAGATGCATCCTCGACGATGATACCTTCGACCGCCACCTCCTCTAGGTTCCCAACTCAATCCCACGGAGCAATATTTCTGAGGGCGAAGATGAAGAAGAGGAAAGCGGGAAGGCAAAGAAGCGGAAGGTGATGCAGAAGAGGCAGAAAAAAGAGACATAGGCCGCCGAAGCCAAAGGTTGAAGATTCGGCGGGCCTCAACCCTACTCACACGGCCACTCCGGGTCAACCTTCCGGGACGTCGTGCCGTGCGAGCTTAACGGCCGGTTGGGCCATTTTATCCCTTGGAAAAAAACCCGAGAGATGAAGTGCCACATCAGGACAGGGTAGGAGAGTGAGCAGCGGTGTATAGTTCGAACACTCTCCCGAGCAGCGGTGTAGAGTCCAAATGTTCCCCCAAGTCGGAACAGGCCAACCCCCTTTATCTCGTCACCTCGATCTAATGACGACAACAGTGATAGCCGTAACAATAACAACAACAACAACAACAACAACGAGACAGTATAATCTCGCTCGACACGACAAAGCCTAGGTAAAAGGCCATGGCGTGACTGATAAAAACGCCGACATAAGACCTTAAGACCAGATACCCCAAACATGGCTGGTAGAAATGGAGAAGGATAATGAGAATGAGAAGAAAGGAATGGAAAGATGTTTAGAGGCACTTGGATAAAAAGATAGCATGGAAAGACCCAATTATAGGGGATGATAATGTGGCCATCAATGCCTTTGAAAGACGGATCGACAGGCGCAATCAATGCGCCATTGAAAACTGGATCGACGGCGATACGGTCGCCTTGAAGAATGGGAATCGGTAGCACATTGAATGACGCTGAAAGACAAGTCCATAGGATGTACAGGTTATCGTGAGGGTTTACGTCGTAAGTATGATATCATCAGCGTGATGTCAAATTCGTTTCTTATCACTCCTCTCTAAGAAACGCGGGGACTATCTGTATACGGTGAAATCGGAGGGTCCAATTTCTCATTATCAAAGCACCTTAGAAGGCCATCTCGAAATCTCGAGGCTACAAGGTTATGATCGAGTCTCCTCCCTCGAGGCTCGTCGGCACTCGGTCTTAGGGTAATGTTGACCACAGTCACAGCATAAACAGGGATTTCCCAAGGCACGTGGCTAGGACTGACAGAGCCTAGAGAGCTACTCTAAGACCCGAGTCAAGGTGTCATCTATTGGTCACATCTCCATATCTTTGTAATTAATGCTTGTTGTACTGTGATGAGATTTCCCTCCTATATAAATGGGATCCCTATCACTTTGTAAGGGTTGGTCACTTCAGTTGCTCCACACGAAAATATACAAGAACTCTCTATTTCACCCTCTAACATATTCTCTTGATATTATTACTTTCATTTATTATCTTCATATTGGTTCATCATTTATTGTTTATCATTGGCCATAAAGAGTCTTCGTTGATTATTTCATAACTGTTAGCCCTATCCCGATCACCCACGATAGCTTGAGCCCGAGCCTTGGAATCGACCTCGAGGCCCCAAATCGGCAGGCTCGAGGCCCCGAATAGTTGACGTAACGGTTTGATTATAACTCTCTCCCTAACTTTATTTCGTCTCTAAATCTCATATACTTAGCATCAACTGCTTAACAAACTAGCATAAAAATAGATCACGTATTTTTAGAGTCTCATCAACAAATTTAATTGTTATTACCATTTTCACGGTAAACAAGGTGGTTACTCGGATGCTAAGCAAAACTCTCAGTTCTTAGCTCGTTATAGCGCATCTACACATGCAGTTTAACTCCAAAACTTCATTTTAAAACTCAGAGTTGTGCACTTGATGTAGAGACCAGTTGTAATACTATAATGATAACATTGCAGTTGTGTTCTTTTCTGAGAGCAATAAACTGACTAGTTGCACCAAACTCATGCAAATCAAGTTTCTGACAGTCAAGGATTTGGTGAGACAAGGAAATATCATATCTTTGACTGTCAAAAGATAATCTTTTAAGACCAACAAAACTAGCCATAAACGCAGGTGTGTGTATATTCTTTTAAGAACTACAAAACTAAGCAAAACTAACAAAACTTTGATGGTCTAAGCTAATTTGACCCGCCTAACTAACTAATTTTCAATCAGTCTTCGTCAGTCGAAAGACAATACTCCTGGTGAACATTATGGCTAAAGGCTTTACTGGCTATCATAAACAAATAGGATACGATATATCACACACCACAGAGGAAGAAAAACCTGGACCTCCAGAGAGTGGCTAACATGCCCAGCATGCAATGACAATAGTACAGGAGAGAATTGTCAAGCTCTCACCCACGATTTTCTGAAATTTCCACCATCACCCGCAGCTAAACATGAATCAAATGATGGATAATTAACCTCATATTCAACCAACATGAGAGATAATTAGATATGTTGCTAGCAGCATCTGGAAAGGATGCATTGCCTCCTGCAAAAAGGAAGGGAAGGCAAGACTCTTATCCTTGTCTTATCAAAAAATGGTGGACGGTTAATCAAACCATGGAGGTTCATGTGCACAATGCTTTGCAAGAACTTGTGTCCATTGAATAGAGTTATCAATGGCAAGCATAGGTACAGTGAAACAGTGAGCAAATCTGGCATCCTACAAGAGTACCTCAGTGTCCACAACACCAACAAACATTAAATTAAGAAGACTTTTCATCAACCATTCACAGGGGCGGATCCATGTGGAGGGTTATGGGGCACGTGAACCCATGCATTCTTCCCTAGATTGTGTATCACACTGGTACTTTTCTGATAAAGTACTTAGAAGTTCATGTGGGAACCCATACAAGAGAGCATTTGGTGCAGTGGTGGCATTGTGCACCTTTGGCCTTAGGTCTTAAGTTCGAATCCCACTTCCCTATCTTTCACCTTAGAGCCAATTTTCTATCTCGTTTTCTTTCTTTTCTGTGTCAGTTGAAATCCCATGCCCTATCTTTCTTTTCTGTTTTTTTCCCTTTGTTCTTCTCTTTTTCTGGTTCACTCTTTGACCTATCTTTTAATTAAATTCCTGCCTTCCTATTATTATTTTTGGATTCTCTTTCTTTTTTCTTCTTTTGTGTTTTCTTCATTTCTCTTTTGGTTCAATCGTTGAGTTTCAAAAACTCTAAAATATAAGATTTTAAGTTAGTTTGAATCTTTTCAATTTAAAGTTACCTCTCTTTATTTACCATTCTTGTTTCGAATATTTATTCAGTTTTACTAATAGAGCTAAGTCCTCTCTACCTTCACAAAGGCAGGGGTGAGGTCTCCGTACACACTGCCTTCCCAAGACCCCATGATGTGGGATAATACTGGGTGTGTTGTTGTTGTACTAATAGAGCTAAGTATTTGTAACTATAAATAATGATGCTATCATTGTTAATTCTCCAAGGTAGGAAAATTATTCAGGCATTCATCAACGAAATGATACATTTTTGTAATAATAATATTAATTGTTGTTTACTTGTCAAGTTGTTGTCATGGCTAAATTTTAGAGAACACCCATCCTCCCCAAATTCTGAATACGCCTCTAATCATTCATCATTTCCCTTGCTAATAGAAATATAGAATTGTCTGAATTGAGTTCCTTCTCCATTCAACCCTTTTCAGATATGTAATTGTATGACAAATATCAAAGATCTATCCTAATCAACAATTAAATCCAGCAGGAAGGAATCACAATTCAAGTCTTGCTTAGGAGACACCTAAAATAACTGTGCATGAGTCATAATAAAATATGGATACAAAGATACAATTTTCAAGACAACTACCAGGGTACCCAAATGTGACTATAACAAATAACATTATTATGGAAATATAAGGCAATTAAAGCAGCAATCCATCCCGATAAATATCTGTAACCCCATCCACCTTAAACTGCAGAGTAAACACTCAAAGAGCTCTGTCTATGTATGTACATGTATACCAAAAACATAACATAAGAAGGTCCAAAATGCTGGCACATATCCAAACAAATAAAAAGCTTAATCGTTACAACCATATCTCAACACACAAAGAAAATACTAATAACTTTTGTTAAAATAACATCAAATTCTACAGACTAGGCCCAAATCGGAAGCAAATGATACTCTACTAAATAACTACTAATAAGAAGAAATATTTACCAGTGGTACATTGAAGAATACTCTAATAGAGTTGGAGATTTTGGATGAAAACGCCCCAATAAGCCTTTGATAACTAGATCTTCCATTATCCTGTCACAGATGACTCGCACTTATCACACTAAAAACCTTCCAAAATATTTGATTCGAAGGGTCGTTGTAGAGAAGGGCGAAAGTCATCTGCGACAGGAGCACCGGAAGATCTGAACATCAAAGGCGTCGGAACGATTCGATTTTTGGAGACTGAGAAATTAAAGAGATTTTTCTAGGGTTAGTAAGGATTGCCCGTGAGCTAGCATATATATGGAGTATCCATGAAATAAAGAGTCTATCCACGCGTTAGATGTATTACCGGAAAAGATAAACGCGTTCTCTTTTTCCATTTTTGTGTCAGGCGCTTTTTCGAGAGACCACCATGTTCTATTTTTTATTTTAGAGAATATAGATTGCCTCTTGTCTTTTTCTGTATTTTTAAGCTTAGGTCTTTTGAAAATAGTCTCACCATGTTTTACGTACACACTATCCTCCTCATATCCTACTAATGATATTTCACTGCGTCGTTATTGTTATTGTTGTAGTACCTTAATTTTGCGAAATTCTAATTTTAATCCTTATAATATTTGCCTAATTTAATCTTCAATTATTTTATATGTGCACTTTTGATCTTTTTATGTGGATCTTCATAGATTTAACAAATTATTAACTAATACGCCATTTAATTACTCATGTTTTCTTTAACCTTGTACTATTATATCATATTTGAGACTAATTCAGTTTTATAAATAGTCTACATGTTACCTATATTATTTAATTGGACAAAATACACACCTGTTAATTTAACAGTTAATGTGTTTAGTCATATATCACAACGACCAAAATAAGAATTTATTAATAATCGAAGCAGTAAAAGTGCTATTATTCCTTTACTTTAACATTCTTTTTGGAGTTTCATTTTGACATTCATTTTTGGAGTGTGAGAGGTAAAAGATAGGAAGGGTTTAAGATTCTTCCTATAAGGAATTTCTCTATTAATGTTGACAACAACAACATCAACAATCCAGTATAATCCCACTAGTGGATTCTGGGAAGGATAATGTGTACTTAGACCAGTATAATTCCACTAGTGGGTTCCGGAATAATGTTGAGACTTTTGGAAAATATGAAGAAGAATGCAAATGATTTAGGCTTGTAACATAATACGAAAAGCTTTCCTAAAAACGAATATTTTATGGCAGGTATTTATATAAATTTTGCCAAAAAATTATAATTAAAATAAATAGCCATTGCATCTACATAAGAAATAAAAAAAAGTACAATTCTAACATCATTATTTTACCAGTACATTATACAAATTTTTATTTAAAAAAGGTCTAGTGGGTCGCTAAATAATTTTTTAGTGGATGTTTTTCATTTTTTTTAAATAGTTAGGTAAAAAGAAAAATGACAAATATCCCCTAAAAGTATAGAGTGACTTTTCAGTTACAAAGGGTAAAATTAAGTGATCCTTCATTGACTCTCCTAACCAATTTTCATTAGTTCAATGACCTTATGAGAAATCAACTCGAAGAAATACATAATTGTAACAAATAAATTAATATATATGATTATGTGACAATTAACAACTCAAAAATAGCTCGTATAGAAAGTTATTTTTTATTTTTCTTCACATCCACGCGCCTAGAAGTTAATGTATCCACGCTCTTTGTCATATCAGTATTCAGAAGGTAACAATTATCAAAGAGTCAAGTTCAAGGGATAATTAAGACCACGAGTAATTTAGAAGTACAACTAATAATTCGTGTCAAGTTTATAGAGTTTTTTTTTTTTTTTAAGTATTTTGCCTACTTTCTACCAGACTTGCTAAGAATAAGAGATAAAAAATTGTAATCTTTGATCTCCTCTTTAGTTACGTTAGCTTTCTTTGTTTCCATTTTTTAATTTTTCCTGTGTCATTGAAATGAGCAAGTTAAACCCTTAAGATTAAACCAAAGTCATCCACAAATTCTTTTTGTTTTTCCCTAGTTCATCCACTAACGTCAGTAAATTAAAGAGCTTTACTTTTCCTCTGCCAAATTTATGTTACCGCTGTGTAGAGCTCAACCTCAATTTCATAGTTAAGGCATCTTCGACTCTCTTATATATAATCCAAAGCCTCATTCACTTGCATTTTCCTTAACTTGTTATAAGTTGCTTTATCTAAGTGTTTACCCTAAAAATCAAGTAACAATTAAACTTGTAATGTGGTTTTAAGGATATGTGATTTCACTTAATACCAATTGATTAACTTAGAGATAAATTATGGGAATTTACAAGAATGCAAAACAAATCAATGCTTGGACAATGCCCTCGAGCTGATGAACCCTCGAGAATGGTGAAGTAAGAACAGTTAAAGAGCAGTTAGTTGATGAGCAGAAGAAAGAAATATTATATTTCCTTGATATTCATGAATGTAAGATGTTTACAAATGATGGGACCCTCTTTATATACTAGAGGAATTGGTACAATTTTAATTACGGAAGTAAATCCTGTGATTGATACAAATAACCACCCTTGACTTGATTTGTTCCGAGATTTCCGCCGTTATCTTCGACCGGTTACGGATATCTCGCCTTACTGTTATTGCACTTCACTCGAAGTCGGTCATACTTAATCTCGATTGCTGCTGGCATCGGTCTCAACTAACACTTCAATCTTTAGACTTGATGTCTAGTCTTCGAGCTCGGTTTGATTCATTACGAGACTACACCCGATGCAACTCACTTGTCTCGATCAAATAGTAAAATGGGATAGGCCTGATTATGACTATATACAGATAGTCCCCTCGTTTCTTGAAATGTAACGAGAAGAAACGAACTGAGCCCTCGATTTAGTACCTCAATCAATGATGACGCCACCCTCGTGACGTAAGCGACGGAGGCGACCGAAGCGTTGTATCTGCACAGTTCCCAAGATCATTAATTAGTGCTAGTTGGTGGTCGACCACTAGTGTTTTCAAACCATCATAGCAGATATTATAAATAGACCATCTTCATAATTTTCTCAAACTTTACTTTCAAAATTTCCCTTAATCTTCAAAAACTCTTTTACTTCCTTCAGGCTTATCAATTCTGCAGGTTCTTCAAATCCCGTTTGCCAATATTTTCTTAAAACAATAAGTTTCGTCTTCTTCTTTCTTTGAACTCATATAACAATGGAGAAAATATCAAAAACCGTCCCTCAAAAAGAAAAAGTCTCCTCATTGCAGCCGGCCGGTGATAAAACGCTAGTGGAGCCACACATCGAAGAGTGCGTTCCTGGGTCATGCAACCTTACTTTCGATTTTAAAGTTGAAAAACCCTCGTCGGTCCCTGGTTGTTGTGAACCAATGTCGAGATATATATGCTCGATAACTGAAGGCAATCTCGAGCAGGTGAAAAAAGATTGTCATTGGGAAAACAAAGAGGTGGTGATTCCTACCCCTGAAGAGGACATCACCACTTACGTATAAGGGTTCTTAAGTGTATACACATACCCCTTTATGATGGGTCCCATTGATCTGGTTATCCTCAACTTCTGCCACCAATACCGAATAACTCTTGGCTATATACACCCTTCTTTTTGGCGCATCGTTATCTTACTTCAATTCTTCGTGAGCAAGGTCGAAGGGATGCCATTTACCCTCGACCACCTCATTAGACTATATAACCCCCATCTCTATCGAGGAGGATTAATAAGGCTCCAACGCTGAGCCACAAAGGTGTTGTTCTTGAGTATAGACAAGGACAAGGATGATGGGTCGGTTTGTCCGGGCGAGGACCTCCGATATAATCCTGGCCGAGAAGATGCCATTCCCCAAGGAATGGAACGTGAAGCGTAAGTGCAGACCTGTCAACATCTTATGTTGATTGATTTGTTTCTTTTATCTTCCCTCACCCACATCTTTTTGAACCCACATATTTTCTTATTATGTAGTGGTTTCCTGGGTGCCCGGTGCAATCCCTAACCTTGAAAGTTGGGTTCGGAAGCCGGCTTCGACTTCTATATATGTTGAGCGCTCATGGCGCGATTTAGCAAGGGCCCGATGGGAGGCCAAGAATCATGGTAAGCTTATCTTATACGTTTTTTATGCTCTTCTCTGAAACGTTCATTTGTACTTGATTTCCTTTTATACAGGTCTCAGGGATGTTTCCAAAATGAGACCGCCACCTCCTGGGGAAGAGGAGGCCCTGAAACCGGCTAAGGATAAGAAGAGGAGAAGGGTCTCACCTTCCGATACTCCAAAGCCTAAGAAAAGCAAGGATCGTAAGTCGAAGAATGACTCCGCCGCTCTACCTGCCGATGTAGCCCAAAAACTGCGAGATGAAGAAGAAGAGAAAGAAGATGCTGACTATGAGCTGCAACTGAGTCGGTGATAGTCGAGGAGGCTCATCTTCGAACCGAGGATATCTCGGAAGATAGTCCGAGAAAAGTCCCCGAGTCATCGGGGGCTAAAGATGTGTCCCGCCGTGATGAACAACCGGCGAGTGTGCCTGTCCACCGTGACGAACAATCAGCGGGTGTGCCTGAAGGATCCGATTTTGAGGCCCTCCGAAAAGGAGAGAGTGCCCCAAGTGTCTTCCTTAGGGCAATCAATATTGATAATTCGCCGCCCCTCCCCACATTTTCTGAAGGGCAATTTTGGGAGGCCCAGTCTATAGAGACCCCCGATGTGGGAACAACCCACAAAGAGGATGACTTATTCCGTAGCTGCTTCACGGGGGTCGATGATATTTCTGACCTGGATGCATCGATCATTTTTGATGAGGCTCAGCGACTCCTGAACCAAGTAGATTTCAGCCCCCGTTATTAGGTTTATGTTTGCTTTTATTTCTTTTTGTCTGATTTCCTTCCTTTTCCATAGGCCATGACGCTTCATCGGAAAGCATTTTCCAAATTCCGAGCTAAGCTGAACCGGTGTGAGGCCGATCTCAAAAGGCTCACGGAGGAGAGAGACGCCCTCAAACTCCTCTATATGGAAAAAGAGGAGGAGGTCAGGGACCTCTGAGCTGAATTGGCAATAGCTCATTAAGAGCAGACCGATCTCATCGAGCAGGTAATGTAAATTTTTGGGAGCTTGATATATCAATTTGATATTGGCAACTAACACTTAGATCCTGCAGGTCCATCAGAAGGCCGAAAAGGTTGAGCAGCTTCGCGAGGAGGCTGAGATGAAAGAGGCAGAGACTTTGGGGTGGAAGCATAACATGAACCGCCTCGCCTCAGAGAAAGATACGGCTCGAGCCCAACTGTATTTGGTTGAGCATCAACTCCAAAGTGTGAAGGAGGAGAGCTTGTCCCGAGCCAAGAAAATTGAGGAGCTCGAGGCTTGATTGGCCGCTGAGCTTGCAAAGACCACATCTGAGGCAGAAAAAGTAAAAGCCGAGGCGG